TTATTCATCAGTTTTCACATTAAAATTTCACTTGGCCATTTTTGAAAACATAAACAACATAACAGTGGCCCATGCTTAAATCCCACCAGCGCTCTCCATCTTTGCGTAGAGATGCACCTGAGCCTATACTTCTTAAGGCCGAAGCTCATAAAAGGTGGCAATTTATCACAAATCCCTGAATCCCCCACTCTGCAGCGTGAGGAATATACATTGCCTAATTAACATAAAAGACAGCAAACGCCTTGCGTCCTCGGAGCGAGGGCTGACAACGCTGCAGCCCAGCGTGCACAGAGGTACCCCGTGCTGCCGGCGTCGCCCCGGGATGGGATCCAGCGTAGTTGGTGGCACCTCAAAGCTCTGCCTGCGGTCTGTCCTGGGCGAGGGGAGCAGGGAGCTGGGCTGCTCCCTCACCCCCAGCTCTGCGTAAAGCCCCACGATATAATGCCTTATAAAGTGTGATATAATCCCTGCGGATTGATGGGGTCCCACACCACCCCATGCCAGAGGGATGCTCCAGCGCATCCCTCCCAGGAGGCAGCCCAGAGGAGCCTGCTACCCCCGGGGCATGGTCCTGCTCTCCCAGCACCCACGGGCTGGATTGGGACAGGATGGATCCCTTGTGGCTGGGGCCGTACACAGAGAGCCCTCCTGGGGCACCGCGGCACTGTCAGGAGAGGGAGGGCAGCGGGGAGAGACCTCCCCGGGTGGCGGTGGGAGCTGGATCTGGCCCAAGCACGAGGGCGCATCGTCTCCAAGATACAGTGGCTTGGGGTAGCTTTTCCTAAACAAAGAGCATTATAAGGGAGCCACTGCTGGAAATTTCCATTCCTTTGTTGGGTAGATGCTGTGTAAATAAATGCATTCCTAAGATTTTTCATAATCCTGGAAAGGTCCATAAAAGAAACCGTATAGTTTGTCAAATCGCTCGAGTTCATATATATTATTCCTCAGCTACTGGGAACATGATATACAATGGCACAGAATATAATGCAAGAAACATATGCTAAAGGTCTTCTTAGAAGCACTCTGTGCATTCGTACGTGGCATGTACAGATATTTCTTCTGTTTTGCCCCATGGGATCTAAAATATTCAACCCATATTACGGCTTGGGTTTGTGAATTACTTACCTTAACTCTAAATAATCCTGACCTGACAGGTGAGTTCGGCGGCAGCATTTAGCTATTCCCTGGTTTAATGTGCGGGTGCTTTGAAAGCATTTATAAATTAGTACACGAGATAAATGTGTAAGCAACTTCTTACTTTACTCTTCTGCTTTTCTTTCTGTCTGAATTTTATTTTAAAAACAGACGATTCAGGAAGATCCCGTTACAATAATGATGTTGTGCCTGATGTATTTACAAGTTGAATGGCTCAAAAACACATTTGCAATGTCTTACTTTCTTGTCATGTATAAACACTAACTACATATAGAAGGGATTATATTCCTGTATCCAGTGTATTGGTAATGTAAATGCAGGAGTTACTTACATAGTGAAAAGACTGTTGTACCTTCATTGATAGAAGTCAGATCTTTTTCTTGAAATAAGCTAGTAACTTCTCTCACTAACTCTACCCCTTTGGACTCAGTTAATCTGGATTTATAAGAGCACTTCCCTGTTTAATGCGGTACAAACACTTCAGAAATTTAGAATAGAAACTGTCCTGTAGACTACCAGGACAATGCTTGTTATCCTTCTTTTTCATTTTTTGAACACACTCTGACATTTGTCTTATATTTAGACTTTCCCAACAGCTACACCTGCTTTCTTTAGGATGAATTTTTTAATTTTGAAAATCATATCCCCTAGTAATGCAATTCTACTGGAAAAATATTGAAATGATACGGAGATAATACTTTTCTTTTTATGAACTTTTCATTTTTAGCTCTCAAAGTTCTAGACAAAAGAGAGCACTTAATAAATAGTTGTATAAAATACAAAATGTACTTTTTCAACATTTGTTTTCTAATTGTCCAAAATACATTACCATTTATTTCCTAGCGATGCTATTTTTCAGTCAGATTAGAAATGTAAAAAAAAAAAAACCAAACCCACAACCAAAACAACCTAGAAGCCAAACCAAACCAAACCAACCCCTCAAACAGGACTATCTGCGTAAGGTAAGCCCAAATACTTTTGGCTAGCTGGTTAGCTCTCTGATTTTCTTCTGTTTGGACACTGCCATGGCATCTCCAATTCCGCAGTGCTCGTCCGAGATCCTAATTTTTCCTGACCTCAGTACTCACATTTGGGGGCTACTATGTCAACGCATTTCAGCCTCCAGGATGAAGTAGCCTGGTTCAGCCTTCTCTCAAAGAAAGACTATTACGGCGATTGTAGCTCTCAAACTGGAATAGATTATAAAAGCTTATTACTCTATTTTAATGTAAAATATTGTTGACTAAGGGCATCAAACTTTAAACCCAATTAATAACAAACTATGATCCCAGAGGCTGCAGACCGGTAACTTATCTACCCCACAAACAGCCGCCCAAATCCCTCACATTTATTTTTTCCAGGCTTTCAACTTTGATTAATAACATGACAAAACTATGCAAGTCTCAACCATATTAACCACAGCTATATTTTTAGTCTTACTGACATGAACACTTTAATACAATAAAAGGAAAAGGAAAACAGAAGAGGTGTTTCATTAGGACACGAGGATTACTAAAACCGCTGTGTGGAGTATTTGTCAGGAGGTGGTAGGGGAAGAGTTATTACTTACATTTTAGCATGTCGCTAGGACGCGGAGCAAGAGGCTCCCTCGGTGAGATATGTTTGCTTTGGAAAAAAAGTTAAGTAATCAGACCATCCAAGCTCTTCTTACTGACACATTTATAATATCAAACTGCAAACTCGGTTAAGAAGTTTGCAGCACTACACGGAAAACTATTTTTCCAATTTTGCTATGAAGCCCGGCAATAGGGCAGTGATGCAAGATCCAGAAGTTTACATATTAACCTGCCAGTCCTTTTTTATTGATAGACGGCTACATGCAAAAATATATGAAGCATGCAACCTGGTTGGCTAAAAAAATAGCCCAAACCACAAACCCTCAGCAAATCTGTTCTTGCAGCTGATTATAGAAGCTTGTAACCTATTTTAAAAGCATTCATTAAAAAAAAAAAAATCCCCCAAACCCAAACAACTCCCCCCTGAATGGCTGATATAAGCAAGAAACCAGCATTATGTCAGTAAAATAACAGCTTCAGAGCAAATCCAAAGGCTAATGCTTGCCTAATACAGAATTGTTCAATATTAAACGTTTGGCTTCATGATTGTGTGATACTGGGGCTAGAGTTAAATTTAGTCCAGTCTCCCCATCGATTGTTTGTATGACAGGGGTATTCCTTAGATGAGTTTCTGACACTAAATTCAGCTGAACGAATAGTATTATATACCGCATAAACATAAACAATATTTGGCCGAGTATGTCGTTTGAGTTTTTTCTTCCTGCATCTACCTGCCTACACACTTGCCCCAGCAGTATGTTTATAACGATGCCTTTTGTAAGAGAGCCAAGATTTGTAAGTCGAAATAATGAGCAAAACCAGCCATACATTTTCTATTTCTAAATCGTTTGCATGAAGACAGCTACGTTTCAAAATCGAGGGAACAGAACAAAGAGATACAGGCGTACGGCATCCTAATAGTGACCCTGAAATAACTGCTCAGGACAGCACCCAAATATCGTAGTCATGGACGTATTGGAAACAGCCAGGTACCACAGAGGGGATGCGATAGCCTAGCAAAGAGAAGGGCAGAGCAATGGCAAATACCTTGTCAGACTTTTACCCTGAGACAAAAGCATCATTTCTGCTTTGACCTTTTTAGCATTTCTAATGCACAACATCTGCAGTATCAGAAATGCAGGGGAAGGGGGAAGGCACACACCCCAACCTATTTCTACCCACCACAAAGCGAAGAAGTGTACGGAAAACCTTTATACGGCTCCGGAGAAAGTGAGACCCTATGCACAGTCTTACATATGAACCTTGCTACCGAAGAGATTTGCCTCCCACTTGAATGCCACACAAGCACACGCGAACCGTTCCTGCTCATCTGCACTCCCCGTTCTGACATTGGGACTCCGCTTTTTAACTAGCCCGGGCTTGGCTGCAACTAAGATAAACATATTTAGCTGCAACTTTTTTTCTTTCAAAAAGAGGCAAACTGGATTATAGCAAATAACCTTTGAGATAATTAACTGACAATGCCGCAACTAGCATAAAATCTTCCTTCAGGCGACCCCTAATTTAAGTATTACTGGCACAAAGTGGAGACAGATTGTGCATCACCACCGCAATATTTACATAGCAGAAACCCACAGAGCAGGAAACGTGAGACTCAATGATGCACTAAATTAGGAACAATCATATTCTAGTGTTAATTTGCTTTCTCCTCTATCCAAATTTCAGGTCCAGCAATTGGTACAAATGCACATAAAACATTCCCATTTTTAATGATTAAGAACCACAATCTGCAAGCAGTTCTGCTCAAAAGTAAATTCACTCACTGCTAGGGATGTTTGCAGGATCAAACCCCCAAAAGTGAAACAGGTTTACCAACGACTTCCTAACCTGTTTATTTCTTCCCGTAAATGATGTCTGCACAAGCAGTCTGAGTCGTCTGCCAGGCTACCTGCCTTTTGATTGCAAATATTTCCCTACCACAGTAGCGCCGTGATTCTGCGGCATAATGGAGAAGCGGTTTTAGTTCACCGATGCTGTAGACATATGCAGGTACTCAAAAGGCTGTGTAATCAAAGAATTAAAGTTAAAGCAGGGGGGAGAGAAAGACAGCTGGTCTATTTGTAAATATATTTGGAAGTGACATTTATAACAAATATACACTCTACAGTCTATCTAGATTTCACGAGCACTACTCAGTTACAGCACACTTCGTAAGATAAATGCAAAGAGCCATCACCAATCTTTCTAAATCTTAAATATTATTCAAATTTGGTTTCCACTACGGCATATTAACAAAATATTTACCTTGCCTAATCGCTGATGTTCTTCAAAAGCAGAAATCAGTTCTTGCGCCCACTTTATTTTTTCAGGGCTCGGAGAGAACTGTTCCTGGACAACAGCAATTTGGTTGGGGTGAATCACCTGCTTACCTACAAAGAAGATTAATAACACCAGAATCATGCATCGACAAACAGATGTTCAAGCAAAATGTTCCAACCACTTGAGGCTCTCATATCCTCGCAGACTTTCTTGCTCTTTAACTAATTATTTTACTTGGTTTCTTTTATTTTTTAAACTGGACAACAGGCAGATAGCCTTTTGCCAGATTTTTTTAAGAATAAAAACATCTTGAGCTGTGCTTGCATTCGGTATAGTTTGAAAGAACCCACGATTCTTTCTCCTCCCTCCCCATTTCAATCCATACATCTTCTCTCAGTCGTTTCAGGCGCAATTGTTTGTCCGGGGCAGTCAATAACACTTAAGTATAATGCAGCTCTGAGTGTAACTGTATAACTAACAGCTCCAGCCACTCTTAAATCAGTTGTCTTAAAACGCGTTCAGAAAATGAGATCCGAAGAAGATGGCAAGAGATCTGTAGCACTGAAAAGTTACCAGTCACCTGAGGATCATGCCCTAAATTCTCAGTATTGGCTTAGCATCATAAAATCCTCAACGTTGTTTAAATTGTTGTTGTTGCAATAGTTAGCAGTTGCAGGTAGGTTGCCTTTTTTATTTAGTCACCGGTGTATTAAACAACTACCAGCGGTGCCCCGAGGTTTTATGAAGCACTTTTTTTTTTTTATCCTTTCCTGTATAAGCATACGTTAAGAAAATAAAAAGAGATGTTGCCTTTTTTTTACTAGAGATTTTCAAACGTGAATGGACAGCCACATAATCCCTTTTAATCTGTTATTGTATTTAGCTGCCTTAAAACAAATACATATCTAATTTGTTTGACAGTTTTAAAAGTGTAACATTTGACACTATTAGTTCATTTCTAAGGGAATTTCACAGACCGGTGTGATTTCTGCACTTCGGCTTCGAAGTGCTTTAATAAAGAGAGGCTACCGTAATTCCCAGCTTCCCGCGGAATAAATGACTCTCCTCCGTGCCAGATAACAAAACTAGTTGGAGGGATGAGCCTGATCCTGCAAACCTGCCATCGAGCGAGCAGCCTCCCGCACACAGAGGGTCCCACGGCCGCGCCGTCCCGCCGCACGCTGCAGCCTCTCGCGGGAGCGAGATTTTTTTGCACGCAAGGAAAATCTGGAGCGTCAGGACCTAAGGAGGTTTCCCGCGCGCAACGGGCTCTGCTCCCGTGTTCCTACTGACGTTAAGCCAGCCGTACGTTAGAAATCAGCCCCCCACTCGGTATCAAGAAGCCTCATGCGTGACCGCAGAGATACACCTATTTTAAATGAAATTACCACTGCAGAAAACCCAGGATTACTTTTATCAGACTGCAGCGGGTCTGAGTGATAACCTGGAGTACAAACAAAATCGGGGGATGCAGCAGCACAATCTACTTAATTTAATGAGCAACGAAATAGTAATTTTTTAGTGTTGCTACGTTTCTTTGCTAAAAAGCCATAAGTAGCTCGATTTTATTTTATTTTATTTCCTATTAAACAACCTTTAGTTTATGATCTTACGGGCATCCAAATATTCAGTTTGAAATTTCAACGCCGTAACTATTTAAAAAATAGCTCAAAAATAGGTAAAAGCTTAAAACTCAGTAAGGACTACATTTTTTGAAAGAAATTACATGGAGACAAATTTTCTTAACTGACGTGTTTTACATTAGGGCTAATCAAAGGTTTTTTAGTCAATTTAATCAAATGTCACCATTAATAAGATTATGATGTTCCTTATTTGTAATACAACAAATTCTCCCTAGCTAAACTACTAATTCTAAAATTGAAGGGTGTACAAATAATTCCTGCAAAATCCTAAGGAGCTTAACTTTCCGGGAAAAATGTAGAATATATTTTAAATTATATTTAAAGGCAGTCTATAATTATAACAAAAATAAAAATATTTATACATGATTTCTAAAAGTGTAAAACATTTCTGTGAAAAGATTTGCTTTTGATAAAGATATCTGTAGCAGTAAGCTATACTTCTTATCATTAAAACACTACTGAACAATTTACAGAGGATATAATCTAACTTTTGATTTATAGCACTCAGTTGATTTTTGTCACAGATTATGTATCCAAATAACTGTATAATAGACGTAATGCCATGCAGGAATGAAGCAAATATTTTAAACAGAATTGTTGTTATTGACAAGTTACTGAGAGAGTGCAAAATTGGAAGACATTAAAATTTATGACCATGAAATCCTTTTTACAGTACCACTTGATATATCGTGCTTTAAATCAATACCTGTCAAGTCTTTTAGGTAACTGTATGATGGTGTCATTTTAGTCTTCTACAAAAGACTGCAAAAAGAGAGGAAACCTATAGCGTTTCGTATTTATATCTGGCTTCTCAGCATGTAGCACAGGACTTTCGACAATGACTAAGTCAGCTGTTAAAGCTTATGGCAAGGTTTACTTAATTTTTTACATAAAAATTCCTAAAACTGATGCTGTTTATATAGGCAACATGCTGACTTTAAGTCCATGGGTTCTGGTATTGTAAAACATCTTGCTGGATGTGTATGCCTGTGTGTTTGGGTGCATATGTGTGTGTTTATATATATATATATGCCCCCCCAATATATATTAAAAACTATATATAAATATACATATAAAAGATCTATTAATTTGGCTAAATTACATTTGAAAACGTTTGATTTTGTGTAAACACACGCACTGAAGGAAAAACAGTCTGCTTTTAAGATAACTGGAAAAGAAAACTTGGCTACAATAAGCAATGAGGGTCACAATAGTAACTAAATAGCTGGTAAACTCTTCGTTATATTATTTCTCTTGTTTAATCTTGAGTGAACATATTTGATTACATTAAGGCCAGTTCTACCGGTTTAAATGTGAATATGGGAAAATGTGAGGACATATAACTTCGCTGAATATTTTGGATTTGCATTAGTTTTGAGGGTGGTGAATTTGGCCCTATGCATGCAAAAAAGCGTGTGTTCTCCAGCTAAGAGAGCAATTTGGAAGCCTCAGCTCGTTTCAGTCCTGTTGATTTCAACGATTTTGATTCTTTGTGAAAAAGTAGCAGGAAGGGATCTTAAATATTTTAAAATAACAAGAATCGCGTGTTTTGAACTTGTTATTAAGGCGACATTTCAGTATTTTACTCTCACGTTACCAGAGGACTGTCAGTGGCAAATACGATCTGCAGACTTCTGCTTTATACAAGGTCATGGATTAAGCTAAGACCCATTTGTAATTTTCTGTGATGAATATTAAATTGGAAATGTTAAAATGTTTCATTTATATAGTTTTGGAACAAAATGTTTTGCTTTCAGTTTTGAAACGACATTTTATTTTAATCAAAACAAGCAAGAACGATTATAAAAACATTAGATAAACTGAAAGCAAAAGAAACAAAAGAACAAGTGAAACATTTTGGATCAACCCCAAATATTTTTTTCTTTTTTACCAAAAATATGAAAAATGCTGTTTTGTTTTGACTGAAACAAATTTTTTTAATTTTTTTTTTGGCCACCAAATCAGAAAAGTCAGTGTTGCCCCGTCTCTGATTATGGCTGGACTGGTTGTTGGGCTGTTTGCTGGAGTTTGGAAATGTGTTGATGATAGTTGCGGAAAGGCAGGCGGCGAAGGGCAGGAGCTGTGAGTTCGCCTTAATGAAGTCTGTACCTTTTACAGATCTTTCCTCCTTGCACGGAAAGGCAAGACACTTCTACGGCCGAGTTAGAAATTCACTTTATGCCCTAAACTGCCACACGTGACCTTTTTATTTGTCTCCTATCTGGACCCTATCCTGATGTCAGACAACCTCCACCGTAAAGTCAGTGGAGTCCAAACCACCATTAACGTTGTTTACGCTGAGCATTTCTAAATTTCCTGAATTGGCAGCCTGAGTTAAGTATTTAAATACACATTAAGCATTCAGAAGGAGTGCTCTCAAAGGTGCTAGGCATCTGCAACTCCATTTTCTGTCAACAGGAGGTTCAGATGCTTAAGTTTTTTCAAAAATCAAGCCTTTCCTTAAGCTAGGAAATATTGGTCGAGATTAGGTAGCCGTCAGCAGGTGCTACCATTCAGGAGCTCTATTATTTTCCCAACTTCAATCGCAGACGAAGGAAGGGTGGAAGGCCACATGGACGTGGATAACGTAGCTGTGAGGAGCTAACCGTTTTGCCTCTGAAACAAGATCTGGCTTTGCAAACGTTGAAGCTCAACAGACAGTAAGGCAGAGTTTGTGCTGAAGGGCATCGATTGCTATTCTTTCGCTGGCACGTCGAGATCACTTAAAAGAACGCTTGGTTTTTTGCTTGGTGCTTTACGATATCGTATACCGCTGACTGTAAAAACATAGTCTGCTAGATGGCATCACCAGGACCCATGCCTTTGGTAACAAAATCCTAAGAGATGTACTATCACCGTGCATATATCCTGAATGATGGTCAGAGACAAAGAATGTAAAATGTTCGTCCTGTACGCTAGAATTCTCTAATGCATGTGTCAAATGGCTGACTTCTATTGCAAAACCCCAATCTTTGGTGGCTGCACTGTCCCACCAGGGTGTCCGAGTGATCTGGTACACCAATCCCAGGGTAACAGCCTGCCTTACAGGACGCTGGGGCAAGGAGCCTGCTGCTCTTGCTGTCTGCCAATACCCGTAGGTGTCACCAGCACTTACTGGGAGGGGAGCCAGGGGATGAAAAACAAATGAAAGAAAATAATAAGAAAATAACTTTCCCCTAGCAATTAGCATACGAGATTTGCTTCTCAACTCCTTCACCTGAAAAGTATTTTTTAACAACCGCCGTTTAAAAAAAATTGGAGAAAGGGAACCACGTATTTTAAGAAGCAATCGTAGAGCGGTCATTGCAGAGTACAGTACCGCCTTTCCCCGGCTCTGTGATGGGAGGAATCGCTGCACAGCCTCTACCCCAACTTCTCTTCAAAAACAGTCACACGCTTCATGGGATGTGGTTTTAAAAAGCAGCCTGTGACTTTTCAGGCAAAATTTCCAGCCCCAATTTTAAAGGTGCTAATAAGCATAGAAGAGCTTGGTATTACTGAGGGTTTTGATAAGCGACCTGAAATAAAAACCAAGTTATTTGTCTAAGTGACAGCAAATGTAGCAATATATTTAAATTGAAGAAGCTATGCATTATTTTGAGACATCGGCAGAAAGTCGTACCAGTGAATCCCATTGAGGCACCTTCTCTTGATTGCCTGCGGAGCCCATCTTCATCTCGGAAATCGATGTAAACAAGGTCTATTGCTTGAAGGCCGAATGCCTTTGCTGTGACTATTATTTTTTGCCTGGCATACAGAATATCGTGAGTTTCCTTACTGCTTGTTGCACCTACGAAAATAATGAAAACAAAGAAAAGCTGACAGGAGTGGTTTAAACCTTTCAATTTTAAATATTTCTAATGTAAAAAAAAGAAAGTTCGAGATGTCATTTAGCCAATTTAGAAAACAAAAGAAGGGTGCAAGGCTATATTGTCAAAATAATACTATTATGAGGAAAAAAAACCTGCTTTAGCAAAAAATAAATAAATCTCTCTTTAAACACTAGCTTATAAAATTCAGATTTTGATTCAGTTCAAATCAGATGTTGTAAGCCTGAAGTCAGTGGAAGCTTTGGCTGGCGAGGACTGTGGAGTTGGGACTAACATGAAATAATTATTTGATTATATTATTTACTGTATGTACAGTAAGAAGCATTACAGCAAGAGAAGCTTTACACAAATTGATGTACTGGGTACAACTAAATGGTTAAAAAATTCACACTGAGAATAGAATTGCACTTTCCTTGGTTGTGATTCTTGTCACAACTGATGTCCGAAGCTGAATATTTAAGTATTTGGATGAAAAAATGATGGTAGATGACTTCTGAGAAGAAGCAAAAGTATTCATGAGGCTTCATGTGCTGACAGGGCACCAGCTAAGCAATGGGCTCACGTGAAGGCTGGTGTGAAAAAATCGTAATAATAATATGTTCCCTTTCCTTAGGGTCACTATTGAGACACGGATTTCCAGTTCGTAAGGAATAATTTAGTAAAGCAATGCTAATTTTTCATTAACACACTTATTTTTAATTTAAGTGTTGATAGCTCTGAACTATTATCTTTAAACTGAATCAGATTAGTAAGAAGCTAAGCGGCCTATCATAAAAGAAATTTTGAAATACTTTTTATTTTTGAGGAAGACTAATAGTGCTTTCACATGAATACATGGCTGTATTGACATGGGACATATTTAAAGTAAACTTATGAAAGCAAAATGTGACAGGGGAGTATTTGTGCATGATGTCAAAAGCTTGACTGATAATTGTCTGTAAAACAGTGATGAAGCAGACACCAGAATTCTAGGACTTTAAATGCAGTTCTTAGAAGCATGTGCATGTTTCTTACACATATCATATTTTTAAATAATTTCAGTGACTCAACAGGGGTTTTTTTTTATTAATTTTTGGTACTGCACGGCAAGAAGCACAAGGAAGTGTCACTGCCCTGTAACACACAGGGACCACGTTTCAGTGTTCCAGTGATGCATTCTGCATTGAAAAAAATCAAGGAGAAAAGTGAAAATGTAAAATGCAGAATCAAGTGTTGTCATTACTTCAATTATTGCTGTCGGAAAAGCAATGGTCATAAATCACATCGGGCTTCTCCAATGCAAATGCCATACATTAACATTTATAGTAAACAGACAGGTAACAACCTATGCTGGCACGGAAATCCTCTCCTCCAAAGACGACTGCGTCCAAATGAAAGCCAACCTGGGATCCTGTTCTCAGTGCTTCTTCACAGACAGCCTTCAAATGGGAACAGAGTATTAATTTCTACAGAAAGGCAGGACGCAGAGAGACTAAAAGGGTATTACAGCAACTGAGCGTTACCAAAAGCCTTCAGCTAAAATTGCTCCTATTAAGCAAAGCCATAGTAGGTGCTCGACTATGCACAAGTGCTTTAAAATGACTCAGCAAAAGAGAAAACATTAT